TGTGCCACATCAGGGATTCTGGGAAAGGAAAGCACAGGAGGAGCCGGGATTCCCAAGTTTTGTACGGAAATATTTCGTGGGTGAGGGGAAGTGCAGAACCTTGGAGTGATCTGGAGGAAAATCCGGTGAATTCCCAGATTTTTTGGATCCTGGTGCAGAGTGGATTTAATTGGGATGGCGAATTCCTCCATTGCAGGGAGCTGGGAAAGGGCTGGGAAGGATGGGAATTCGGGGATGGCGCTGGAATGGGAAAGGGAAAGATGGAAAATTTGGAACCACACTGGAATTGGAGAGGGAATGAGGGAATGATGCTGGAATGGGAAAGAGAAGGATGGGAATGGAGCTGGAATGGGAAAGGGAAAGATGGAAGATCAGGAATGACACTGGAATGGGAAAAGGGAATGATGGGAATGGGAGAATGGAGCTGGAATGGGAGAGGGAAGGATGGAAATTTGGGAATGATGCTGGAATGGGAAAGACGGAAAATTTGGAATGACACTGGAATGAGAAAGGGAAAGATAGAAAATTTGGAATCACACTGGAATTGGAGAGGGAATGAGGSAATGATGCTGGAATGGGAAAGGGAAGGATGGAAATGGGGAAATGGAGCTGGAATGAGAAAGTGAATTATGGGAATGGGGTAATGGAGCTGGAATGGGAAAGGGAAGGRTGGAAATWGGGGAASCAAAGGTCAAAACTGGGCTGGTGGGAAAATCCCCCAGGATTCTTTGGAGGGGCCCTGGGAGCATCCTCAGACCCCCCCTTTTCCAGGGAATGCTCCCCTGGAATGCGGGCCATTCCCGAGCCCTGGAAGGGGCTGTGTGGGATCCTGACTCAGCGGGAGATGGGCCGGGATGCGCGTGGGAGAGCGGCTAAATGCGGCTGGGAATGACTCAGAGCACGCGGGATCGGCTCAGCCACCCCCAGGGTCCCTCTCCCTGAGTTCCCAAAGCTCCGAGGAGAAGGAAAACTCCGGAGATTTCCAGAGGGATGGATTCGGTATGCTCCACTCCCAATGGCCACTCCCACTGGGATTTTTTCATTATTAATTTATTTCTCTTCCCTCCTTTTTATTTTCTTTTTGTTTCCTGCTTTCCCACTCCTTTTCTTCCTGCTTTTCTTCCTCCTTTTTCCTCTTTTGTCCCTCCTTTCCACCTCTTTTTTCCTCCTGTATTCCTCCTTCCCCCCTCTTTTCCCTCTTTTTTTTCTACTATTTTTCCTCCTTTTCTCCTCCTTTCCTCCTCCTTTACCTCCCTTTTTCTTCCTCCTTTTCCCCTCCGTTTTTTGTCCTTTTCCCCTCCATTTCTTGCTCCTTGTTCTTCCTTTTTCCCTTTTTCCCC